GATAAACAAAAGCACTGGGCCGCCGTAGCCCCATGATGCGCCGCGCGAGGACAGGGCAATTACTGGGCAGGATACGGGATTGCTGGAAGGCTTCCCAGGAAACCCATTGGCAGCATGTCTTGCACCAGGCCATTCACAATGTCTTGTCTCGAGTGCGACGCTGTAGCTTGACCCTATTGCCTGATGGGGCAATGCAACCACGAGGATGAAATACGAGTCCCCTTAAGGCTCATTCTGGACCTCGGGGAAGGCTGATGAGATTCCCTCTGGGTGTTCTTGCGGCGGCTGCTGTTGTGCCCTGCCGGATCCCACTCGGCACTTTCCAGTGGGCTGGGAGCGTGGTCAGCCGCTTCACCAATCGGCGACTTGGATCCGTCACGCGATGCGACTCGGAGGAGGAGTAAGAGGAGGAAGATCTCAAGAGGAGGAAGAGGAGGGGGATTCGGTCGGGAGAGTGGAACTCCGCCTCACGTGACGAAATCCCTCAATCTATAACGACGTTGCTTCCACGTGGCTGCCGCTGCTGCTCCCCGAGCATAATCGGTGCTGCTGCGTCTGGTGCCGGCGTCGGGTTAAGTCGGGCTTGTCCTCCTACAGGAGGAGTATTCCAAAATCGTTAGAACAATAGTCTGGGGGCAATTTTTTGAGCCTGCTTCGACTATTTGGAGGGTATTGTGTGAGTATTTTGAATTTTTCGCCTGAAATCCTCCTGTAGGGGGACAGGCCCGACCTAAGCGTTGGGAGACGCGCGCGCCGCGCAGCATCTGCCTCGCGAACGGCCGCCGCAGTGGCCCGGGTCCGCGGGGAGGCCGCTTGCCGCCGTCCCAACACTGGCCACCTACACCGCACTCACATCTATACCCCTGGGTGGGTGTATGTGCGGCCGTTTTTGCGCTGTCATGTGCGCGCATGTGCGCGGATGTGCCAGTCATGTGCCAGGCCTGTGCGGCCCTTCTTGGATGGACTTCCTACTGTGCACGTCGTGCCCGGGCATGTGCTGGGGCATGTGCGCTATGTTTTGGTGTATCCATCATACGCACATGCACGCACAGTCCGACGTACATGCGCGCACATGCCTGCACATGTCTGCACATGTCTGCACAGTGGCGAAACGTCCTGGCGTGCCGATAGGCTTACCCAGAGGTCCAACGCGTTGACAAAAATCAAGGCGGAGGTTGTTCAAATCAACGCCCAAATTTCGGACCCTCGCAGGACTTCGGCACCGTCAAACAAGGACTCAGGAAAACAAATTGGTCCTGGGGAGTGTGTCGAGACTTCCGGGGACCCCGTCTTGAAAACATCAGGGGATCGGCTCTTTGGGTGCCATTTTGTGGTTTCCACGACATGTTCTTCGAACGTCTGCGGCTGGAGTTGTCCTGTTTTGACACGTCGGGTGTATGTTCTAAGAACACTGTTCTTGTTATTGAACCACTGTTGGGTTGTAAGAACATGTCGTGGTAGGCCTGTAGGAATGACGGGACGGTCGGTCCCTGCTCGAACAGGTGGGGCCCATGCCAAGAAACACCCCGCTTGCCTCCAGGGTGCTCTGGGTTTCTTGGGTTTCGATGGTTGTGCTATGGAGAGCGCGATGCCCCCACACCTAAATCAAGGGACGTCCTGGGGTCCCATCAAGCTTGCATGCCCACCATCAACGCATGTCGGGGGCGGCAAAGAGGGGGGTGAGGACTAGGGGGGGGGGGATATCATGGCGGGGGTCATGATATCTCTACAGATTTCCTGGCGCCCTTTCTCATTTCAATACGTTCCCGGCCCCCCCCCTGAGACCGCGCACGTGCCGCCAGCCATGATTTGCGCCCCCCCCCTCTTAGACGCCCCCCTTTTGGCCGCCCCCGATGCGCATTGCGAGTTGCTCGCCGACCCAAGAGCAGGCCCAATGCCACGGGCACGCGGCCCAAGACTGGCAAGGCAGCGGAAGTCGGCTCGCCGCGGAGGTGCACGCGCACGTCCGCTAACATTGAGTTTGGCTAGTCCCTCTACAGGAGGAATATTCTCAAATAGTCAAAGAAAAATATGGGGACGTTTTTTTTTAAAAATTTTCTTAATGTTTTCATATGTTTGACTACTTCTAATTTTCCCTCCAAAACCCTCCTGTAGGGGGACATGCCCGACCTAACGCTACCAGCGAAGAGGTTGCTGCCCGGACACGGACTGGAGGGGCATCGAGCCTGATCCCAAATAGGTTACAGTTGCCAATTAGTTTCGCGATACAGCCTTCAACGCGACGCCAGGAAAATCCAAAGGGGAGAGCACCCCCAAGGGACATGACTGCACCCTGTGACGCCACCAATCAAGTTATGTTGAAATCCTGCGGGCTCGCTGGAGCGTGGTGCGTGTGCGACACTTGCACGTGCGTTCAAGAACGCACGATGCAAATGGAGGCCCGTCGGGCGAGTTTCACAAATTGCTGCCACCAGCATCCACCGAGACACCGCCATATTCGAGCTCATGCGTGGCACGGAGTATTTGTCGAAGGCTGCCACGTCCGCAACGGCAATTTGGGAACAAACGGCCACGGAGGCGGACCACCACTCTCCGTGCCCACCGCGTCCGCCTTGCCAGGGCGGGGTGCGTATGCCTGTCCATAAACAGGAATGGGCATCCTAGCCTTACGCACGAGGGGTGGATTCCCGTGCTTGTCCATCGACATTCAGGTCAACATGGTGCCTATTGAACGCTGCCAAATTGCGAAATTGCCGCGACCGGCAACTGCAATGTGGCCGTCCTCACGGCCATTGGCTTGGACAACTGTATTCTCTGTGCCGAGCAACATCCTCATTGCGAGGATCTGAGTTCTTTGCTTGTAGATCGATACGGATGGGCATCCCAGCGCACGAGGGGCGGGTGCCAGTGCCTGTCCATCGGCATTGGTGGCCATCCAGGCGAACGCAGCTTCTCCTGGACGCCGCCAGGGGAGGCTGCTGGCCCAAGGGCGTGGCTCGAACCGATATGCAACACATACAGGCTCAACTGGAGAGCTCCACTGGGCGATCTCCACATTATGCTTCCACTGGCATCCACTTAGATCCCGACGGATTCGTGCTCTTGCGCGGCGCGGACTCATTGTCAGGGGCCGCCGCCCCCGCAACGGCAATTTTGCCATGAACGTCCACGGAAGCGGATGAACATTCTCGGTGCCCACCGCGTCCTCCTTGCGAGGGCGGGGTGCCAATGCTTGTCCATCAACTCGGATCTGCATCCCAGCTGTAGGCTTAAGTCGGGCCTGTCCCTCTACAGGGGGGAGATTCGAAAAGAGTAAACAAAATAATCTGGGGACGATTTGTTGAACATTTGTTGTCCATGTGGGGGCATTCTGTTTATATTTATAAATTTTCCTCGAACATCGGCCTGTAGGGGGACGGGCCCGACTTAACTATCGGTACGAGGGGCGAATTCTGATGCCTGTCCATCGGTAGATACGGGCATCCAGGCCAACATGGTGCCTGCTGAACGCCGCCAGTGGCGACGGCTTCCGCAAGTGTAATGTGGTGGTCCCGCGACCACTGATGCGGATCAGAGTTCCATGCGCCGAGCAAAATCCTCATTGCGAGGATGGGATTTCCACGCCTGTCCACCGACAGGGCAGGGATCGACATCCTAGCTTCAGGCACGAGGGGCGGATGCTCATGCTGTCCATCGACAGGGGTTGCCGACCAATCTAACACGGCTTCTACTGAACGCCGCCAACGAGGGAGGCTGCCGTTTCTTGGGTTCTGGCGACTTGCCGCGCCCGCATCAGCAATGTGGCCGTCTCGCGCGGCCACTGAGCGGACCAAACATAGGCGTTCCCAGTACAGCCCTCGTTGCGAGGGTCGGATGCTGCTCTTTGAGCGGACGGGCATCTGTGCTTCAGGCTTAAGTCGGGCCTGTCCCTCTACAGGGAAAAATAGTCAACAAATAATACGGGGACGATTTTGTGACAATTTGTTTTACCATTTTGGTGTATTTGTTTGATTATTTTTTCGTCCAAAGCCCCCGTAGGTGGCCATGCCCGATCTAATTTCAGGAGCGAGTGTGGGGTGCCCGTGCTCGTCCATCGACCAGGATGGGCGTCCATGCCCATCTGGGCCCCTCTCCCTGGGGAGGGCCGTGCCTGCCCGAATGCGCCAGGGCGCAAGAGATGCCAGGCCAGCGTCGCCTGGCCATCAATCGGAGAAGGGGCTACTCTTAAGCCGGGCGTGTCCCTCGACAGGAGGAATATTCAAAAATTGTTAAAACATAGTCAGGGGACGAATTTTCCACTAGTTTTGATAATTTTGGAGCGTTTTGGGATTCTTTTTCATTTTTTCGTCGAAAATCCGCCTGTATGGGGGACACTCCCGACCTAATCCTAGGCCAGCGTCGCCCAGCCATCAATTGGAGGAGGGGATACTCTCAGGGTTGCTCTTCGAATTCAGGAAACTCTGAATTTCAGCCCGTGTGTTCCCTTAGTTTACCCCTTGCCCGAGTGCAGAGTGACGTCGGCACGGGGCATGGGGAGGAGGAGGAGGAGGAGGAGGAGGAGGACGACGACGACGACGAGGAGGACGAGGAGCAAGCTGGAGGAGGCGGACGGGAAATCAGGTGGTCTGTGTCCAGACCTCCTGGATGAGGTCCGAGCAGATGGGGCCGGAGGATCGCGCCGTATCGCCGATGCTCAAGCGATGCGGCTCGATGTTGAGGTCGATGCCTCCGCGCCGGCGTCGCCGATACATCGCCGATGCGTCGGCGATGCGGCGCGATCCTCCGACCCCGTCTACTCCGAGCCCATCTAGCCCATACATGCGACGTCCTGATTTTTACAGGACGGCGTCCCCGGAAGTCCAGACTTCTTCCCCTGGGCCGGCTTTTCATCCTGAGTCTTTTTTTAACGCTTCCGCGGCCCGGCAAGCCCCCGTGCAGGGGCTGAAATAGTGAAACACTTTCCGTCCTGTTTTTTTACGACGCGACCTTGTCTGGGAGGAGGCCTCTGCTGTGGACCCCTGTGCCCCCCTCTTGCAAAGGACGGGGCCGGCTCCACGTCGCCGAGGCGCGTCTGGTCCATGATCGCCAACACGTCGTCGAGAGACGGCGGCCCCGAGGCTCCAGCGGAGGCGGAGGAGGAGGAGGCGGAGGAGGCGGAGGAGGAGGCGGAGGAGGAGGAGGATCAGGAGGAGGAGGAGGAGGAGGAGGAGGAGGAGGAGGAG